CCCTTTTTTTTTTTTTTTTTTTTTTTTTTTTGAGTGCTGAAAGTGAGAGGTGTATTAACTTCACGGTCGTAGTCGCTTGAGTACTGAATGTGAATGGTGTATTAACTTCAGTGTCGTGTTCGCTCCTCTGTTGCCTTTAGCCGTCGAGTGTATACGTTGTGTATGATTGTGAGCAGCAATACTGAGCAGCAGCAGCGTGAGGAGGTGGATTAAGACGCAGTCACAAGTAGCAAGTCAACTGTTCAATGTGGCTCATCCAACGAAGTAGGCGTTACTGTCAAGATATTTGCGAAGTGGGCGATACTGCGTGTTCAAATCACGTCCGGGTCACCAATGTGGGGGCGGAGTTATCGACAATGCCAGCCTTCATCTATCAAAAGGTACCTCGTGATTGAATCAAGTTAGTATGTCTTATATACCAGTGAATTGATGTTTAATTTTCGTAGTGGTAGTTACGCCACAAGCGGAAACCGCTTCTGTTCCAGCCGAGTGGCAAAGGCAGTTCTTTACTTAGACAGACTATACGCCTATGTCGAGAGATTTTCCCTTTCATTTCTTCGTTTACGAGGTGAACCACAATTAGATGTCAAGGAAACTAATGTTTGAATATATTTTCTCCTTGATTTTTTTTTATTTTAAGAAAATCTAGTGCCCAGGGTATAACAAAGTAAGTTCTGCAAAGTTTAAAACTAAAAAACTAAAAATTGACATACATAGGTGAAATATAGTGGAAAGAAAGTAATAGTGGAAGTAAAGCTCAATATTGGACTAGCATAAATTTGAGACAATTATAGATTTTGCTGTGAAAAGTTGTGTGAAAATTTAAACAATCTTTATTGTACTATAAACATTTAATATTTTTTTAACTCATATTCTTCGAGTTATTAAACTTAAATTAAAAAAACCTCGAAAGTTTTATAAATACAATTTATTTTACTTTAGTTTATTTTTAAGCTTCATACGCTTTTTATATAGTATTAAGACTAGCATAAATAAGTTGTAATTCACTATATTTTCATTTCATTTGAAGAATCTGCTATTTGTTTCTGTTTGACGTTTTTAGGCAAAGCAGGCCTTTAGCGGGTTTTTTCTTTAATTTGTTTTTATAAAAAGAACATCTTTACAAAACTATTGATTGGTAAATTATAAGAAAGTATCTGTAATGGTGTTTTAAAAGGGAATATTGCTTCAAGTAACTGAGAAGTAGCAAGCTTTAACACTACGCAAAATTTTATTGCACTATCTTTTTGTTGTTGTTGTTGTTCATTACGTCGCACTAGAGCTGCACAATGGGCTATTGGCGACGGTCTGGGAAACTTCCCTGAGGTTGATCCGAAGACTTGCCATCACAATTTTGATCCTCTGTAAAGGGGATGGCACCCCCGCTTCGGTAGCCCGACGACTTGCACGCGAAATCGAGCACTTTACGGTAAAACTGTTTAACGAGGACCAATACCGCACACCCTCGGTCCATACGCTGGCTGATCCAAGTGGTCACCCACTCGCACACTGACCGTAGCCCGTAATGCTTGACTTCGGTGATCTGCTGGGAACCGGGTCTTAACGATCAGTCCACTGCGGGACACTATCTTTTTGATTTAAGTTCCAATAACTCCAAAAACGCGCTTATTTTTTTTTCTCCATAATTTTTAATGTTTTTACACTACAATAAAATTTGCCTACACTAATTTTACAAGTCGCAAAATTATATCAATCAAAAGTTGAACTGAACTTTTTCTTATCATAATTCGTGCATGCTCAGTGTTTCTCTTACTATTGGAGTTTTACTCAATCTAAAATTGTATGATCACTATTAAATATTATCTTAATCTAACTCTTTGTAAGAATTCTTATGAGTTAAATTTCAATAAAAAGTGAGGTAAGAACGCTGAAGTACGGAAAAGTTGTTTAATTGAGTAGAGTAACACATATGCATGGCATTTTTAAAGTTCTGGTACAATGCCTTTTCATGTTTTGCACTTTTCATGCCTGGAAATTTAGAAGATTTCAGGTATTAAAAAAAAAAAAACATTCTTTGATATGGTATAAATGTTTGATAACATATGATGTAATACAAATAATATATAATATAGAAAAGTGGTTCCTAAGAGGAGATCCAAGGAAACCTAGAGTTCCTAGGAAGGTACACAAGGGTACCAAGGGTTAGGACTTTTTCCGGACATTGCTGATTTTTGAAGCCTGCAATTATATTTATATTAAATCTATAATACACTTATTATTTATATGCTAAAGAAAAAAAAAGCTTTTTTTGGTAATAATATATTTAACAAGTTTTGAAAATTATATAATTTTACAAAAAATTGTATTGGTATTTCGCAGAAAACTTTTTTATTTAAAATAAAACGACTAAATTCAACAATGGAGAAATATGTTTCCTTAATTACCATTATCAACGCATATAAATTTTTTTATTGTTTTCATTTCAACTAAAACCATAATTCAAATTATTTTATCAATTTTATACTTATGCGTATTATTTTATCAATTTTATACTTATAGAGGCCAGGACGGTTGGTAGGACGTTGGTCTCGTGTTCGTGAGAGCGTGAGTTCGAAACTCGCCGACCGCAGATTCCCTGTGTATTAAGTGATGACTATTGCATGCTAAATCTGTCGTGGTCATAAAGTCCTCAAAATTCCCATAACAATTAAATAACTCTGAGGGTACCGAATTAGAGATTGATCGTACTCTGGTTCAGGTCAAAATTAGTTCTACGGATGAATGAATAAAAGTATGATTGGGTTCTTCCTGTAAAACGGGCTGTGACATGTGTGTGGCTGAAGTCGTATTCTTGGCCATAGATGGTGGCATTGAAAAAACAAGAAACTCATCATCTGCCGTAAAATTCGCTTGATTTATGGCAGACTTGCAGGCATTCGCTAGTGACGTAAGTGACAACAGCAACAACTTTGGTAACTATTCATAATTGCAAGACTGTAAACAAATTACTGTATTGTTGTCCACCATCTTTAGTGTTGAGGAAAACCAAACATATTTTTATGTATAGAACTGTAGTTCGTGCAAAAAGTTATATAAAATTGAAAAAATAAAAAATAGTTTGTAAAATTAGAGCGAATATATTATTAAAAATGTGCTTGTTTTTAAATAAATCGTTTTTTAAAAGAAGTCATTTAATTCATTCTATGTGGATGAAGCTATGTGTTTTACTAAAATTTTTACAGTGTAGAAATTAAAATGTCGGGATTCCGATAAAAGAATGTCGATCAATTAAGAGTTCCATAGCAGAAAAAATTGGGAACCATTGATGAAGATACTACACTTAAAGATATTTAAAAAAGATGTATTAACTTATGATGCTATGATGCAATTAATTTATGATGCAGATGATATGTTTATGAAACGGAGGTAACATAAAATTTTTTTTAAATGGAAGTAAAACGTGTAACTGTTTCGATGTCTTCTAATGCAAAATCAATAATTTATTTTCAAAAAATAGTTACATTGTTCAGTTTTGTTTTTATATTAAAAAATGTTAAATCATGTATGCTATTTTATTTTTTATTACTTTTTTAAGAAATTTTGCGTTATGATTACAACGATAACTGCTAGATATCTGTACATTCATTTGCTTCAATATCAATTAGAACATTTTCTATGGTTGGTTGTGAGCAGTATCAGAGAAAAAAATAATGATCACATAGGTAAAACATGCTGTAAAAATTTTTAATAATTTCTAAAATGTTTATTGAAAGCACAGTTTTAAAAAGATGATGTAGATTATGCAGTATCCTTCAAAGTTCTATCTTTAATTAAAAAAAAAAAATTAAAGAATTCAAATAGCATGCAAAAAAACATTTTAAAGATTTGTTTTTGTTCCAAAAACTATTGTCTTTTTTTTTTAATGTAAAGTCACTCATAACTTTTTAAATAATGGAGATAGGGAGATATGAGCATGAATTATTTAAATTCAATTACTTAAGTCAGTTTTTTGGGGAATGTGACCCATAAATACTTTATCACTTATTGAAGTCATAAGAATTGAAGTCACAAGTTTTTGATCCTGATCATAAGAAGATCAAGGAGGATGAACGGTTTATATCCATAAAAGTTGATTCTGAAAAAAAAAAAAAAAAAAAAAAAAACGAATTTTTTTCGCTCGCCGGAATAGTTTTTCCTTCTTTACTGTGCTAAACTCTCAGTGAGAACCGATTTTTCCATGTTATTGATTTGTCAAGACCTTGTAATCCTCAAAATGATACATGTGATTATCCAAACGTCATTTTTGGGGAAAATGGACCTAAACTATTCTCCCCCCCCCTTGATCTGTGAATTGTTTTCTATTGCTTATTATTATTTTAGGATGTTTTTATTTTAATTTTTATAGTGTATTTTTGGTGGAGAAATTTTTCGTTTTTATGAGAAAATGAATATTTTGGAATATTAGTTGCATTTAGTGGTATAATAGTATTTTCCTTAAATATTTAGGAAATAACTAAAAGGACAGAAGAAGTACAAGTACCATTCCTTCTTTTTCATGGTGATGATGATAAAATCTGCCATGTTAATGGCTCGGCCAATTTTCATGAGAAAGCTCAATCGAAGGACAAAACATTTAAAGTAAGTATACCTTAATTTGAAAGAAAAAAACCTTTATTTTTTTTTCAAAAAAAGTGGTTTTTGGTTTTGAAACCAAACGCATTGCAACCAAAAATTTGAAATGTAATAAAATTTTGAGTTTCAAATGTCCATTTGTAAATATTTAAAATGAATTAGAATTAGAATATTTAGAATTAATGAATTTTTAAGCAATTATATTAGAACGAACTGCATGATATTTTTCGCTTTTTACGAATCCGTTCACTGTAAATTTTTTGTGTGTATCTAAACACTGAGAGTGGCAACTTTTAAGCACAAAGTAGTGTTTCACTGTCGTTAAACACCTAGAATGTTTCATTACACTACTTGGTGAAAAGTAGCTGTCTCCCAGGTTTGTTGCTCTGTAACACTAAAATTTATAGTAACAGTTAGATATGATATACTTACGAATTATAAAGTTACGATGCATACGTATAATATTTCTTCAAATAAAATTAGTTTGTTAATCAAGCATACACGCAGAACAGATAGAATGTTAATATGAATACGAACAAAACCGAAATGAATAGAACTGAAATATTATCAAATTATTTTATAAAATTGTCCGATTTATGTAAATCTTATGAGAACATAAATATTTTTATTATACAACTAAAATCATACATGCAATTTAAAACAGTTTATATGAGTAGTTTGTCAAATCAATCCGACAAAATGATTGAAATTGCTTTGCAAATAATCGATCACGATTTTAATTTTTCATCAATCAGTAAAGAGGATTTATTGTTAATTGGCTATGATCAGTTTGGCAATTTAATCCAACAAGAAGCACTCATATTCACCAATGCACTTTATGCAAGCCGCCATCTTGGCCATCATATTGTCACTATCTTGAAATCACATAATTATTTGCCTTTAAACTTCTAACAATGATCCCAAAACATTTGTTATACACTCTTAGAAATTTCTCGAAAAAAATTGTTAAATAACAATTTATTTAAGGGTTATTTTACCATATTCAATCAAAAGAATCAAATAATCATAAATAAAATAATAATCAAACTGTTAAGCGTGAGAAAAACAGTTTATTAACTGCTTTCACCTAATACGGTTAAGCAATCAGAATTTTATAGCACCAACTAAGACCATCTAATGAAGCCACTTAATTCTTTTCAACTGCGTATTTATCATAGCCGCGTGGGCTAATCTGTCAATTTAATGGCCGGCAGAACTGGGGTTCGATACCCAGTATTGACACTACAATATTTCCTCCACTCCCTTCAGCAGACGAAGAATTTCCTGTGTTCGGCACTCTCCAATGCCCATTACCTTACGAAAGTCGAGCTCCTGTGTCTAGTTTTTTTTTAAACGTTTTTGAAAAATGTTAGATTTTAATTGTTAAAAAACAGTATAGTTTTGTAATTATGGTTTTATAACCATACTATTTATAAATGGTTACAAAACCATAAGAGTAAAAAATGTTCTTTACCGTAAACCTTACGGTTAATCGGATGGACAGACAGCTGCCAGTTATTTTACCATAATTTTAGAATGAAAATTCTAACAGTGTAGGTTTAAAACATCCTTTACCTATATTTCATACAAGAATTTAATTAAAAAGTTTTCAAGCATTATTAGCCAAATCCAACCATCCAACGAAGCCAACCATTTTCGACCCGCAGATTGGTGTAAGCTTTATAAATTATTGGTGCAAACATTTAACTACATCCTTTGAAGAGTGCAAGAACGCTCGATTCAGTATTAACTTGAAATAAAGCATGCCCCATTCACGGAAATTTTATTCATGACTAAATTTAGTCAGAATAAATATATTCTGAATGATTATCCATATGAAAATTTAATTCATCATTCATTATGTAAATTGATGTAATGATTGATGAATAAATTCATTAGTCATGACTAATTTTTCTGATTAAAATTTTGAATAACTAGCGAAAAATGCAAGCATTATGTTGCTTTCATTGCAATATCCTCCTTGATTACAACCAGAGCCGGATTATACCTTTCGTAGGCCCTAGGCATAGCCGTTTTTGGGCCCTCCCTTCCTTCCCCCACTCCTTCCCTCTTTTCAAAATATATGCTAAAATTTTCTTGCATATTTTTTTTACATTTTTATTAATATGGATTTTAATTTACAAATTTGTTTATCGAACTTTATCTGCAATACCGACATACTGCCGATATTGCAGTTGATATCGATTTGGAATTCGACAGCATAATACAAGATTTCGTTGAATCCAAAAATCGCAAAAAAGTAATATATTAGATCATAAGATTCTGCAAAATAATTTATTACCGAAAAATATTATATTTTTATTTGTATCTTCATAATTTTGTGCAAAATACACTTGTTGTTTTTAAAGCTAAATTATTTTTGTCAACAAATTTTTTTCTCCCAAGTTTTTCGTAGGCCCCTGAATTTCGTAGGCCCTAGGCACGTGCCTAGTGTGCCTATAGGTTAATCCGGCCCTG